ATCAATTATATATATATATATATATATATATATATACTCTAAAATTATTGGAGAAACTATGTTACGACAAACAAGTATGATTCTGCAATGAAAATAATAATAATATATAATATTCTGTTGGATAGCGTTTGACAAATACAATCGTTAAATATCAATCAAAAATACAATTATTCTGCAAAATATTTTTTTACAATTACAATGATATCGCAACATTATTTCTTATTATTTTTATAAACCTATTGATATCAAATTATAGATTTCTTATTTTTTTCTTTTATTTTTAGTTGATTTTTTTAGTAATCGATAAAAGAAATGTCACATTTATTTTGCAGATAAAAATAGTTTAAATTAATCTCGGTATGTATTACGTATATATCGAGATTTATATATGCTAATGCTATAAAATAGTATTGGATACATATATTTTTTTCGACTATAATAAAGAAGTGCGGTGTGACGGCCGATTTTAAGTACAGCTCTATTCAAAATGCCATTAAGCCCATTATTACTTATTCGTAAAACATTTCTGGACTCGTACATCGAACCATCAGTTAGGCGAGGGAGATATGATTGACGAGCCCTTAAACGAAATGAGATTAATGCGCATGCAAATTTTGCAGTCTCGTGGGAGTCGGTCTCAACTCGTCGATAATAATTATTATTAATGATGAAATTAGTACGTGGCTGCGTGTCGCTGATTTAGTTTCAAAACGAACCGTGAGAAATCCACTACTTGTAGATTTGTTTCCGCAAAAGGTCACATAAAATTTAGAATTATAAATCACGAACTAATAAGGCAATTAATAGCTTGTCATAATTATGAATCTAATTATACATTTAATTTGCAAATTATACAAATTAGGAACAGATAGAAATAGAGCGAAATTCAAACATATATGATTTAAAATATGCATTTAACAAACAAACTTAAATAAATGTTTATATATTGAAATTAATTATACACATCATATATAATTATGTTATATGATATTAGATATATCTTATTGTTAGTTAATATTTATATTTGCAATTTTCATTTCCAGAGAAATAATAAGCTTTACAATAGGGGGAAACTTAAAATTTTGTCGTTGACTAAGCTTCATCTATATTTATTTAGTATTTTGGGATATGTTTGATAACTTGTTAAGGAGGGCGATCGACGTTGCCAGAAGGGAATTAATTACGTAACTGAGGAGCTTCTAAACTTCGGAACGCACAGGAGTAAAGTATTCCTCGCAAATGGAAATGTAAATTATGGTGCGGGTGCATGCAAATGTTAAATTTTCCAGCCACTTTGCCAGTTGTGCCTGTTAGAGATGAAATTGCCGTACGGCCGTACATCGCACGAAGGGACTTCTGCAAAACTGAAGAAACTTCTGAGCGTTCTCGTTGATTTGTATATACCACACGCAGAATTCTGTAAAATGTACTTCGTATAACTTTCAGAGCATATTCCTCGCGAAGCTGTTTCCAGAGAAAATCATGGCGCATCGCGATTTCAAAGACGTAATCTTAGCGAACTATTTACCAGCTGCGGGGTTCTTACCCCCCTTTCTCTCTTTCTCTCTCTCTCTCTTTTCTCGAATACAACATTTTCCTGATTTAATTTCTCGCGGAGAAACTATCATTTATCCAATTTCTGTTTCAGCAGTCCCCAATTAAATCCATTTTAATTTTAATTAACCTATTACTGATCATAATTGGAATGCAGAATTGCGAGATTCTTAACTGCTGATTATGATATTTCTATTTTAATTTGCGAGGATAATAGTGCATAATTTTATTACGATGCAATTACTGAAAAAGTCTCATCAAATCTTTAAAATCAAGCATGCAAAATATACAAATGGGATTACATGATTATAGACAATAATGTGTGTATATGTTATTACATTCAATTCCGTCGAATTTTTCCCTTTAAATTTACAAGACTTAAATATATAAATTCTATGTGATATTAATAATAAAAATTCTTAAATTCATATTAGTTTCAGAAATTTTCAATGTATGTATGTGCTTATATATTTGATTTTGTTTAAGTGACATAAGAAAAATAGATACATTTTTTTATGTGAATTATACATTATTAAACAACACAAGTGCGCGCTTTGCGTGCACTATTAATTTCTATTATTTATTTTACAACTGTCAAACTGTTAATTTTTGTGATGACAGTTGCTTGATGCTATGAAATATGACCCTAATTTTAATTCGCCGAATTTCTATTATGTACATTATTTTAATTTATTGAATTTCTCTATTATGTATATACATAATTTTAAATATAATATACATAATTTTAAATATAATATTGGAAGAAAGAGATACCTAATTAAAAGCCTGGCGCGGGAAACAGTGCGCTAATGTATATGTGGAATTTAGATGGCAAATTATTTCCTTTATTTAACGTATGTTTCGTGGTCTCTCGTATTGGATCATCTTCAGCAACTGTCAGTTACATATTTATAACATTATGAAGCAATTTAATCTAATGCGAGTGTATAAAATGCATTGTGTATTTATTAAACTCGTCATAGTCATGGTCACTGACTTAACTTTCAATTGAGGATCGAGCTATGACGAGTTTAATAAATACATAATGCATTCTATTAACTACACTCATATTAGATTAAATTGCTTAATAATGATATAAAATGTAATTGACAGTTGTTGAAGATTGTCCAATACCATAGGAATCGAAACGTTAAATAAAGAAAATAATTTGCCATCTAAATTCCACATGTACAAATTTATTTGCGCACTATTCCTTGCGCCAGGCTCTTAATTAGTCCTTTCTTTCAATATTATATTTAATATTCAAGTCTTAAATTATTAATATTTTACATAATTTTAATTCGCCGAATTTTTATTATATTGTTTGAGAACTATTTTTTTATATATGTATCTCTTTATATATATATATATTTTTTTTTTTGCTCATTTTGTTTAGTGTAATCGAATATAATTACGTACGCAAAGTAAAATTATTCTTTGATAATAAAACCTTAAAAATTGCAATGCACGTATAATTATTATTGCAACGCATGCATAAAAATATATTTATTAGTTATAAGTGATTCATAAAAATTTAATATATAAATTTTTAATAGAAAACAAAAAAAATAATTTTCTACAAGAATTTTTCGATCAAAATATCTCTGCGCATCCATTAGATTCGCGCGTCTGTACGCGTCCGCTACGCTGTACGGTTCGCGCGAAACTGATCACGTGACCATCAGTCTCGCAGTCGCGATATCTCGTACGAGAACCAGTGTCGCGCGAGACGCGCACCGTGACAGACGTGTGGGATGTACTCATCTAATAGAAAAAATAGAAAGAGACAGACTGCACATCGCAAGGGGTATCGAAAGATTCTTGTAAAAAATTCTATTTTTTTTTTTTGTTTTCTGTTACAAATTTATATATGAATTTATATATGAATTTATATGCATTGCATAATTAATTAATGTATTTTTATACATGCATTGCGATAATAATTGTTATGCATACGTTGCAATTTTTAACATTTTATTATCAAAGACTGATATAACTTTGCTTTGCGTGCGTAATTATATTCGTTATATTTGTCGGTTAAATTGAACGAAATGATATATATATATATATACTACATGAATTTATAAGCAGATTTGTTAATACAGTAGGAAGTTACATGTGAAAGTAATTGTGTCGACTCATAAATCAAACTCAGTTTTATTATTAAGTTTAATTATAATAGCAAATTATTGTTAGTATAGTAAACTGATATTAAAATACTAATACAAATTTGAAAAATACAATTCAATAATTTTCCTTAAAAAAATAATGCAGGTATAAAATGATGCTATAGTATTATATTAAACAGTTATATTTTAATTTTATATTTTATAATCGAATGTCTATATTATCTATACATAATTTTAATTTGCCGAATTTTTATTATGTATATAATTTTAATTTTTAAATTCTGAATTATTCCAAAATAATTATACATTACATTTTATCAATGTATATCGAAAATTTATTATCTTCTAAATTATAAAAGATTTGATCTCAAAAACTTGAAATAGCAAAGTTTGCTTATGTAAGAGAGCTTTTATATGTAAAAGAGGATTTCCTTTTAGCAGAAACTCGATTATATTATTCTCGCGAGACAGAAAACGAGGAAAATCCGCTCGAGAAAGGCTGGGTATAATAGAAGCTCGCTATTTTGCCATTCACGAATAGATTTGTTCGGGGTTTCGGAATGAGTTGAGAAATCGTCGCGCGAATGTTGAATTTTCTCCCATAAAACGCTCTCTCGAGAAAGAAAACGGATGCAGCCCCGCTCGCTATACCAAGGAAGGTAGAATCCGTTTCTCGGATTTTACGAACCTTCGACCGATAACTCGCTTCTTTACTTTCTGTCTTTTTCTCTCTCTTTCTCTGTTTTTCCTCTCTTTTCTCGACTTCTTCCTCTCAGACGTTGAGACGTTTGACGGAACTTAGAATATAAACGAGCCGAAACCCCTCATCGGTACGTCAACTCAGTCGCCGGGGATGATAGATCGATTCTTTCGACGACACTGCGGGGGTGTAAATGCATATCTCTGGTAGGATAAATTAGCGAGTTTTTGTCGGGACGATTTTGATAAAATAGTTCCAATTACAAAGACTGCAAAATTTTTCAATATATGTAAATCGAAATAAAATTTAATGTTTTTTTAACTGTAAAAATCGTTTTTATAATCATTACTGTATAGTGTCGTATCAAGATCCAAGACTTAGCTCCTTTTGATTTTGTCTAGAACTGTAAAAATACTTTTTATAAATTTTACTTACAGCTGAAATAAATAATTAAAATAATTGAAATATTAATAAATAAATAATAAATAAAATTTCACATTTGAGGGCTGTAAAAAATTTAGCAAAGTTGCGAAGTGATTTTAATTGTAAAGAGTTCGTGAATTATGTATATGTAAAATAGATATGTAAAGTAAATGTCTATCTGTTATATATTCCAGGTCGATTTTGGCGACGTTTTCATACCCTACGATTTGAAAGTACCGAAATTACAAGTACTTCCCGAGTTTTCGAGATTGGCGCACGGTCTTCGCAGCGGTAACATCAGTATTCTCGATAGTAAAACCATCTACATTCCGAATTTGCATTACGACGGTGGCGGCCCGGACGCTTACTTCTGGGTTGGCAATGGCTCGGAACCCAATCGTTTTGGTATCAAGGTCCCGAATGAAATGGGCAGGTCAGTTGAAATATATGCAATAAAATAACTATAAATAAATTTTAATTTGTATATATAAATTCATTAGTTTAAAAAAATCGATTGTCTTTCTACGGCGCGTCCGCGAGAGCAATGCGCAATGGTGTATGTACGTGTACAGACATACACCACTACATAAATTTGGTTTAAGAATACCTTTTAAGAATACCTAGAATTACTTATAAATTATTTGATATTACCCTTACTTAGATTTCCTATTAAATTGCAAGTTACCAAGATTAGCTGAGACTGCTAAAGATTATTTAGAATTACCAAAAATTATCTTGGATTACCCAAAATTTCCTTTGAATTACCGCTGAATTAGTTAGCCCTTGCACGAAAAATTACCTCAGTGACCAATCCCTCGAAAAAACAAATATGATTTTGACATAATAAAATGAATTGTACAAGGAGCGAATAAAGTAGAATTGAAGCATTTGGATTTAAGTGATTTTAATTGATAAGATTATTTATTCATTAAAATTCATCAAAATCTTGTATGATACGTAGTTGAAAAATTTATGTTAAATTTAAGATATTACGTTCCAAACGGTCCACAGAAATTTTTGTGTTAATTTGATAATTCAAAAAAATGCAAAGTTTCAAGTAATTTGAAATGAATTTTGTATGAAATTAACATAGTTTCAATGTAAAAGTTTACTAAAAAATGTTAATTTTACATTTTATCATCCCCACTTATTATAGCATATAGAATAAAATTCACATTTTTTCTGTAAAACTTCAATAGACAAAATTTGTCCCTAATAATACGAAACATATTTATTATGTAAAACTAAATATAGATACACATTCTGTTATTTTTACACTTTTTCAGTTGTTTTAATAATTAAACATTTGAGTTCAATTAACACAACAGCAATATGTTTTAAATTAACAGATGAATGTGTTAAATATTTAACAGAAAAATTTAAGAGGACCATATTAACAAGAAAACACAAATTTTCCAACTATGTATATATTATTCTTCGTTTATATAATATATTTTAATGAAATAAAATGATCTTAAATATTAAATTATATTAGAAAATATGGTATCTTTCGATAGAGTATAAAAAAAGGAAAATTGAGTTTATATTTTAAATTTAAAATATTATTCAACTTATCGAGATAATATTGTTAATCTCATTTACGGACAGTTTGGAACCATTGAGAGGATATCAAGGGGAAGATATTGAGATCGTCTTGCCGGGAAACTTGACGGTGTACGACATCAACTGGCTCGCGGTGTGGTGCGTTGAATACAGACACAATTTCGGCCATGTTCTAATTCCAAGGGACCTCGACGTTCCTCCGGCCCTCGGCCAAACGAAAATTACGGTAAACTAAAATGAGTTCTCCAATCCACCGGCTTGATGTATACGCTCCGAACTTTCGTACCTTACGTACCCTCATTAACTGTGAGATGATAATAAACGCGGCTTTGAGCGACACGATGAAAAGCTTCGTTTTATGTAATACAGACGTATTGAATGTACTATGAAGAGGGACATTTACGTTTTTACTTGATAAAATACACGTAGTAATTTTGCCGCTAATATTTTAAGTTTAATGGAACTCGCGTCAGTATAAGGTCTTTTGCTTTTGGCCATTTTTGGGCAGCTGCGTATAATGTCTTCTTAATTAAATAATATCAAAGGGATCGTAAATTTAATTACAATAATTACCCAATTTGTGCGCGTCTTTTATAACCGCGAAACCATTATCATATTTATATTATTTAAATTCGCTCACTATATCATTATATTTAAATTCGATCGCCACTTTATTAATGACATATTGCTCTCGATTTTTAAATGGAGCAGCCGCCGTGGTGGTACAATCCAGTAAGTACAGCAGATCGATGAACGGACGATTTTACGATATGACGACCGTATAATCCGTCGTAGTCGTAAATCACAGTTCGCGATCTTTCCTCTTTCAGACCAGCAGCACACCGACGCCGAAGCCGGTGAACAACTGTAAGGAGATGCTGCAGGGCCGTGTTCAAGTGATGTGGCAGTTAATAGGCGAGGACGTAGAAATACGGGTTTCGGGCCGCATTCGGGAGGACCAGTACGTGGCGTTCGGGCTCTCGGGTCGAGACGGCCAGGCCGAGATGATCGGCGGCGATGTCGTCGTGATCGGTTACGACAATAGAACCGGCAAATTTATCGCCGAGGATTACTACATGTCGGACATCGCTCAGTGCGACGGCAAAAGGGGTGTGTGTCCGGATAAGAGGGTCGGTGGGAGGAACGATGCGGTGTTCATGAAGGGAGAACGAAAGAACGGCATAACAACAGGTACATCTCTACTGTCGTATGTGAATTTTATATTGCGATCGAAACAAAGAGAATACTATATCGTAGCTATTTGCGACGATATACGCGTTTACTCTTTTCGATATTTTACTCTTTATACGGTTCAATATTGATTTCCCGCGCACAAGAGACACATATACGAGATTTCGTATTAAACTATACAGTAACACAAATTGACATCAAGTAATTTTTGACATGTGCATGTGCTCGATAATTGTATTAAATAAATTAGAGTGATAAAGCGGCGTCAAATAAGTGCGTATTTGCAATTTCATTTGTAGTTAAAATATTTAATTTATAATACACTAATTGATCTTTAATATTATTGACGTCTATTTAAATGCCAATGGCAACTTGTCAATATGCCAATCAATATAGAAAATTCTTTCTGGGAACATTTACGTTAAAATAAGAGAGCGTATTATATAATAAACAATATTATACAAAATGCAGGAATAATCATATGCGATTTATTTCAATTACAGTTACGTATAGGCGACCGCTGAGAACCAACGAGCCAGTGAAAGACAGGATGATTCCGGAAAGGGAAACGAGCGTGATCGCTGCCATCGGACCTCTGAATTCACGGGGTGAAGCCAATGCTCATGAGAGATTCGATAAGACCACTGAGGATATTCGTATCGATTTTACGTCAAGCAATGTCCACGAGTGTACAAATTCTCTATACAATATTCCGGACGCTCTTGAGATCAAACCTTGGACACCCGCCGTTATTACAAATCAGGATACTTTTTACGCAAAAATAGGACCGACTGGTGGGAAAAGAGGATACACGGGAATAACAGGTATGTATTTATTTATACATATTTTTTAATATATTTTCTATTTATATCTCCGATTTTTAAATGTGTATTTATATTATGAATGTTATAAAATATTAAAATTTCTAGTAGTTTTGTTCCTAATAATTAATGTTACAGGAAAAAAAATAATCTTGCAAAGAATAAAATTTAGTCTCTTCTTTCTTTTATTCTATTCTTCTGATAGTTAAAAAACCAAAGAACCTGTTAAAGAATATCTCTTACAATTATTTGTAACTTTGTTTATTAATAAAATTTTAATAATAGTGCTTAAAACTGCTGATCAGCGATCTTTATTGTAATCTAGGTACCGTTTCTTGGGGCATTGCGTGGTATATCAATGACTTGTTGATCCCGGAGATCACCGTCGTGCGAGGTCGAAATTATACCTTTATCGTGGAGGGTGGAAACGATCCTGCCAATCCTGCTAAGTGAGTTGCATTTTTATTCGCGTTGACATCTTTCAAAGCACACACACATTAGATCTATATCGCTGTAATATCTTCGCCACAACATTGACACGTATAATTCGTCAATAGGTATCATCCGTTCTACATAACTGACAGTCCGGCGGGTGGTTTCGGACAGAAAACCAATGATGACCAATCGGAACAAAAGATATATGCTGGAATGAAGTATGAAGACGGATATTCCTATCCGACTGCAGCCGGTCGTTACTGCGAATGGAAACGCACTAAGGTGGACGACCCAGATAACTACGACACGTTCAAGAGCTTTTTTGACACGCTTGAACTCAAGTGCGACAAGGGTGAACCTGCCAAGCTCATATGGACCGTAGAAAAGGACACACCAGACTTAGTTTACTATCAGGTATGAATTTTTATTTTAAGAAAAAATTGAAGGAGGGTGAGGGTGTTTTGATCAATCGATTATTTGGCGAACATATATAAATTATTTCAGCGATGTAAAGTTTTTTATTAAAAGTTATTAGATTTACAAGGTTTTTTTACAAAAATATGTTACACATGAAACTTTATTAAATTTGCGTATAATTTTTATTTTCTTTTATTCAGTGTTATACGCACAACTATTTGGGCTGGAAGATCAATGTCGTTGACGCTAACCAATCGCAGGGAAACATTAACCGCATCAGTCAAGTTATGACTGTATTTACAACGTTTGTGTCATCTATCATCCCACTGCTTTTATTCTCGAGATGAATCGTCAAATCTTCTTTTTACGCGGAACAAGTGACGGAAGACAAAGCTGGTCGATTTAAGATCACGAAAATTATACACACGATTGTTAAATCGGCGAAACACATACAAGGTTGTAAGAAAGTATTTAGCACGTAAGAGATTTACTTATAAGGTAAAAGATTAGCAAAATATTTTTAAGATCTATCAGATTCAAAATATTTCATATTATATGATATATATTATATATAATATATACATATACATATTATATATACATATTATATATATGTATATATACACGCATACACGTATACAAATATGACATGACACAGAGACGCGAAATTTCAAAATATTCTTTAAAAATATAAAATCAAACTAAGACAATAATAATGATCAGAATTGGGTAATCAATGAGATACTCTAATAATCGACAATAATTGTGATTAGGTTTGAATAATCAATGATATTCTGACAATAATTATGATCAGGATTGGATAACTAAAGAAATTCTGACAATAACGAACAGGGGTTTATTATTAGAAGAAGGATATCCACACTGTCAAAATGATATCCAAGGACGAGCTGATTAGCACGTATAATTACATATAATATAATATAAAATTTGATGCAGAAGAGAAGAAGATATGCATCAGCAGTACATGTACAATGTAAATTTTGCACAAAGCTATAGTTGATCTTAATGTAACTTTATCGACAATAGTGTGTAAGAAGTACATTTATAAATGCTGTCGACTTGACAATAATACGTAGTGTAGTCAATGGGAGAGGATCGCTAACGAAATGTGAATTATGTACAAGAAAGTAAAGCAAAAAAGTAATATTTAAGGGTGATGCAGGTTACAAACTATCCCCTATACGTGTAACAATGCTATAATATGTATATATATACTATATAGAGTGTGGACCTTCCTAAAACGGAATGAAAGTATAAAATGTGCCTTGGGTACAGATAAATAAATGTCTCTAATTACAAGGACCCACTTGGCAAAAGGGACACCGTGCAGTACTTTGGAACTGGTCTCTTGTGCGTGAAGCGTATATACATAATATATATGGGTAAGAAGCTACATTTTAATATTATATTTTTTTAATATTATTATTAGAAAATATTTTTTAATATTATTATTAGAAAATATTTTTTAATATTATTATTAGAAAATGTAGAAGAAACTTTGTTTTTCAAAAACTGTTTCTTATAATATTCAATACGCGATTTTAATCATGCCGTTCTTAATAGAATGGCATAATTATATGATTAAGCAATGCATTTTTGTACGCGGAATTTAAAATTAATTTTCCGTAAATTATACAAAAGGAAAAAGCACGCGCGTATAAAATTATCAAAAATTATCGAAAAAGAAAAATAGCCTGTGCCAGATATACTCATAATTAATTATAATTGGTAACGTGTGAAACGTGCAAGGGATATATGTAAGACGTGCAACCAAGAGAAATCAGCGGAATACATAATCAATTTAGGATAGTGAATTTAGTGTAGCGTTTCTCGCGTAAAAGTTTTCAATGTGTGTCCAGCTCCTAAGTGCTAGGGTGTCCACAAAATTTACAGCAGAAAATTCTTTGCTTATCACACGAAGACCAGTCTGTATTTAATTACGCGCGCATATATATATATATATATATATATATATATATATATATATATATATACACACAAGTATCATACACATACAGAACAAAAAACTCTGAAACTTACATTATCTATAGCTTTATGAAGGGCGAGACGTAAAAAAACCATTAAGACCGTTAAGTAGGGCCTCGTACTAATTACTGTGTACGTAATAAATGACAATAAGAGTATACACACTTAATCTCGATGTTTGTGTCGCTGAATTTTCGATATGACAATACTTGAGAGCAATTCTTGAGAGATCAATAATGAGAGATCTTTTCGAAATGTAGGCTATCGCTATATTTTTCATCGTTTATTTTCTTTTTCTAAAAAAAAAAAAAATTCTTTGAAAGTAACAGATTCTAGTTTGTAAGCGGATAAAAAATCCTACTTCTGTGAATGACAATAATAAAAATTATCAACTTGCAGGATTTACAATATAGAAGCGGGCTGCTCCCAGAAATGGCTGTGTTTTATTCTTTTTGATCGCTATATAATAATTAAAGCTCGAAAATTTACATAACGAATTATACGTGTACGGATCAATCATTCGATTATATAAATGTACGAGACAAATTATAAACCGTATTATTCTGCAATAAAGCATAAGTCGTAAGTCGCGTAGGTGAAGTGTTCCATATTCGCATAATACATGTACAGATAATAATATATAGAGACAATAACACATATAGATGAATATATCATTCGTAGAAAGTATAGGTACAAATAAAAATTTATTATAATTTCAGCAATGAACGAAGTTAAGCTGTGAAACATTTTATAAGCTTTACCTCAAATATAAGTACAAATAATTGATTCTTTTCTCAGAAGTTTCCTTGTAAGTTCTTCATTTAGAATGTTATTTGTTTAAATTTTGTTTTAAAAAAATTACGTATAAAAAAAAAAGATCTCATGTACATTTCTATATAAATTAATAATTTCTACGTATAATTCGTATACTTTTCTAAATTTTATTTGCTTATTCGAGAATTTTGTTCATTCTCACGACGGTGATGTTTAATTTATGTATTTCTTCCCATTTTTCCAGGAGCAGCCCGATAACGTCCCAAGTTGTTAGTTCATAAGTGACAAATAATAGTTTAGATCCTAAGAAAACTTTTCAGCTATATTACTGTACATTAATACGTATAAAAGGGGCGGGATAAAAGAAACATGTGTTTACACAGAGAGCGTTTCTGGAGACTAAATTGAAAATATTAGTCATCCGGCACAGCATGCGAACGGCTATACCGTCAATGTTGTACAGTTTCAAACGTGATTTTGAATTGTAATAGCAGTAATATTAGTGCGTAATTCTTACAGTTTTAGATCCTATCTTTAAATTAACATATATTAAAACGGACTACTTATAAGCTTCCATCCATGCACGATTACTATATATAAGACACGTGCGAAGCGACAAAATTGGGATAGAATGCAACTCAAAATATATAGCATTATCACCATGGATTATTGAACGTTTACGCAATTTTTCATAAGTAAAACGGGATTCCAGAATTAGATACATAATCGCATTAATGATAGATTTTACAAAAAATTTTCAGAATTGATATCTTTAGCATACTTTTCATTGCGTTTCAAGTTTATACATTTTTTTAGATTTTATACGTTTTTCGAAGAATTTCAAGCCATATTGCGATATTATCGAAAGAGTATACAATTATATTATATATATATAATAATATCAATTTATTTTCAAAATACTGATACTTAAACTAGCAATTCTCAATATATAATTAAGTTCTTGTAATTAATACGAAACAATCCTAACAGCACACATATCCCGAAGACGTTCAGAGAACATCCTGAGGATGTTCGAATGTCCTCTGGATATTCTCTGAATATCCTCTGAATATCTTTTGAATATATGTTGTGCTATTAGGGAATTAAGTTGATATTGGCAGTTAATATTTACTTTGCATTTATCTGGCTATGCATTCATGAAGTACTTTAATGTTTAATGAAATTAATGCAAATTTGCAGAAATTTCTTATGTACTTTAATTTTATTTCTTTTTTATTATTCATATATATTTCAAAATTAAAAACACAACTAGCTTTGCGTGTACATGCGCAGACTAATTTCGACAATATACTATAAAAATGATCGTTCAAATACGAACGGTCTTATAATTTCTCGATAAGAGAAATAATTAGTTATAAGAGATAATTATTTTAAAGTTTGTATTTAAGCAAGGAATGAGAAGCGTTGTTAATATATATATGTATGGAATACGACAAAGTCGAATCATATTGCGCTCAATATCTTTGCAAGTATTGCATCTCACAAATGATTCTTTTATGGCGGTGTATAGAGTATGGTAATTTGGGGACGATTTTGTAACATCAGCGATACTTTTTTTTCTATATCTATGTTGTACATATCTAGAAAAAAATAAAAATACAGATGTCATTAGTTCGAGTTAGTTAAGGGAGAAGAATCAAAAGAGAAAAGTTGATAGGAATTTATGATTAAATTGTGATTTTCTAATTTTTGAAAAAATTGGTATATAATATTGTGGATTTGATAATTTAAAAAAATGTTACAACAAATCTTGAAATATTTTTTTATGATTGAGAAAATTAGGTGTCTAATTTACGACAGAAAGTAATACTTTTTGTTTTGTTAATTCTTTATAACATTATTAATGAAGATCGTACAAACTAAAATACGTACGTTTAATACCCGACATTCTCACAAATCCTAATTTTCTTAATCTCTCATTGTCTCTTGAAGTAAATTCAAGACTCGTTAATATATAGATATGAAATAAAACTGTGAAAGTTTAGTATCGCTAATTGATATTAATGATATTAATATTGATTCGAGAGATCCTTAGGAAGAATTAAAAAAGAGAGAATTATTCTCACGAGAACCAATGATTCTATTGGAAAAAAAATCTAATAAGGCGGATAACGCTCATCTTGAAAAGCACCTTTTATGTACATCATTATAAACGAGGAGTGCTTCTATTATAGTACTAAGACGTGTCACGATTAAAGAGATTGGAATCGATAAACGAAATAGATCGTCTCACCACGACTTGTCGCCGCGCCAGTCGAATTGTATCCGAAAAACAATTTAAATTGTCAACCTTTTGTTTCTCTTCAACGTTTATGTGTTAGGCTAGCTTGTAATCTAACAATTAACTTTCACACTTAATCGTCTAATTGTTATTCCCTCTATTCGAGGAGACAGGACACTCCCGTCTCGAGAAATATACATGATCCGTTGTTGAAGACACGTGCAAAATTACTCGCGCCGATTTTCCAATCGCGCATATTAATTAAAGCTGTATACGAGTTTATAAATTCGATATTGCGCAAATAATTATCAAAACGAGCAATTTGCACGTGGTATCACGTTCTTTTCCGGGGATAAACCTGAGAATAACTATCACGTAGCACCGCGCTGAAAGATGAAAAATAATAAATAATGTCCATTTAATCAATTTCGTAAATATATATAAAAACAACAAATGGCTAAAAGATGCCTAAAAATATCCAACAATGTCATTTGAGCATTTCTTAGCCATTTTTTCAAACTATATTGACTTATTCGCGACATATAGAGCTTCGCAACTTTAAGATTTTGTCATTTTTCTGCGCGGACACACACGTGATATCGGATATTTTTTGTCTCTTCGGGCAGCTGCCTCTCCGTTTGATGTATTATTAATACGAAATCCATGATGATTTTTCTCATCTATATATATTAGAGGAAGTTATTCTAAATAATATATCTATATCTGTTTATTCATTCCCTCTGAGAGTTAACTCATCTAGAAGATATTAAGATATCGGAGCGCACGGTCCATCGTGTTGCGAGCAACCACTTAATAAGAAGTCAATCCTTACCGTTTAAATCGTAATTTGACATATCTCGTAAGATAAAAGAAATAAAAAAGTGTCGGTCGCGGAGCGCGAGCGTCATCAAATTCCCATCATTTAGATAGAAGATACTCATTGTCGAAAATGTTAATTTTCTTTATATAGTCTATGTATGTAACGTACTGTTTCGTAAATGTCTCGGTTGATTTGTTAATGTTATTTGGAAGGCGCACGCATGTGACTTGTAAAATTACTCTATGTGTTGTATGCGAGGAAGAAAAATTCTTTTTGCAAAAAGAATATTGCTCCCGCCGACAAGAAAAGCATCGTTCCCTTTGACAATAGAATAGATTAATTATACAATGAATCATATCACTAATGACTCTTTGACGTACAACATTCATTTATATTTATATATAAAAAAATGCAATGATTTTAATTCAGAGTATTATTCTTGTACTGTATTGATTATATGTCCATTCGTTGTCGCGCGTGAATCTCTATATATATCCGATGATATTGTGCAATCTGATCAGGATACAAAGTGTATTAGAAATGTCCATCAATTGTCATCGAGTTCTAAGTGTCGCTGCGAAATGTATCTCAGGATGTTCTGCTCTTTTATCAACTATGAGTTTCGTCGCATTTCATACATTAATCTTGGCTTTGATAGAGCTACATTTATTAATATTATTGGGTAAAAGGAGCATATATAAGTAATCACGAGGTATATGATATATTATGATTATGAATTATTGAACATTATATCAAATTTTATATTCACTTCTTGTGGTTGACAATAAACTGGTTTTATAAAAAAGAAAAAAGATGAAGAGACTGCATTTAATATATGTTTGTTTAATGCGCGATGGCTATAAAAATGTTCAATAATATAAATAACGTATCACTGTACATATACATTTTTTTTTCATACAGTAAACATACTAGGCAATATACATATTATATATTTAAAATCTATTTTGGATATCCCCAAGGATCTTTCTTTTGATCCATCAGGACAAGAGAAGATTCACAGATCTTTTTGAATATTTCGCGTAATCTTCCTTTTGAGAATACCTATATAAAGATATTGAATTAATACATATGTATTTTTGTAAAATTCATGTATAAATATATTTACAATGGTTATATTTTGCTGTTAATACGTACTTTGTATAGTTGATGTTGCTCAGAGGCGAGTATGTCTGCCAATTGAATACAGCCGTCATGCTCGTTCATTTCGGACATAACCGAATGTAATAAAAGCGTGACTTTAGGAATGCAAAGTTCACGTAGTTTCTCCAACTGATGTTCCCTGAGCTCGTCCTCGGACGTGCACGGCTCGCCGTTGCTACTCTTAGAATCGACGAGCCAACCGCCATCGGGGAATAATAGAACGTTAAATAGTAACTGTTTCACTGCCTGAAAATGGGATATCCAGTTTTACGTTTAATACTTTATCCAGTTTTATGTTTAACACTTCGCTTTGATATTTCTTACCTTTGTGTGATGTTGCATCGTAGATTTCCACCTTTCCATTTCTATATTGTACTGTGTATTTCTATGTTCATATGCAACTTTTTCTGTGAATGTAGCGTATGTTGACAATTCCTCCGGCGGTACAGGTTTGCCGTGATGGAAATGTGAGAACCATTCGTCGAAACCCTCCTGGGCGTCAAGATACGTCTTATAACAGAGGTACTCTCTTATCAAGGCAGCCGCTTGTTTGGACAAATTATTATGATTTGGACAAATTACTGTCAAATTTGCAATTGTGCATTCCATATTCGAGTATTCGGCCATAACGGATTCAATCGAATCTGCCGGGATCTAGACAATACATAACAATTATTATATGTTATTGTTATTAATATATTATTGTTATTATATTATTATTAACTATTATATATTATATATTAATCAAAGCAATTCTTATAATCGAGTTACTTATAAATTATGCTAAATTTTTATAAGTATATGTCAATATAAAAGCTGTAACAATTAGTTATTTATTGATAAATACCTTGTTAAATGCTTTCCGCGCCGCGTCGAGCTTCTCCTTAGTTAAAAAGTATCTAATGAGCGCGTTCGTTTGCCGTAAAGCTTCTTCTCTCTGATTTTGATAAAAAATTAACCAGTCTAAAGCATTAATCTTATCCATATCTGCGTCGGTTATAGTTCCTTTCAGATCTGTTGGATCGGATTCTATGTTTTTTTTACGTATATTTTCCACTACCAATTTTGTGATTGCTTCCACATTCAAGTTCGCGTCCTCTGCAGCACGTAAACATCTCTTACGTTGTTCGTACTCTTTAACACCCTCTAAGTAACAAGCATAGTTGGTTATTTGTTCCTCTTGAGGAAGTGTAGCAGTATAGAACGCGACTAGAGTCGGGTCGCCTATTTCTATAAGAACACGAACATACGCCAATAATACTTTGTCCTCTACTTTATCCTTTGTAGTTCTCCCGATTTGTCTGAAAAACAATATTAGATGTGCCAAAAATCTGAGAAACTGTGAATCGCAGAGGCCGATGTCAATCATAGTTTCAATTTCCTCCATTAGTTTTGGTACTTGATCCAGTATTATATATTTTTGTATTAAATGATCAGGTTTGTTAGATTGACCACGTATTATTGGATTTTTCGACGCATGTAATTCTTTGAATGCATCCTCTAACGAGATCTCATTTTTCCAATATTCTTCTGGCATAGAGGTATAAATTTTCACCATCATTAATCTCAATGCTGATTCGACTCTGATGTCTAGAAGAGTCTTCACATACGCCCACAATGCATCTTGCCAAGATAATGCTGTCTGTAGTAGTAGTTGGACATTGCCACAGAGACTCGCATATATGGCACGGTAATATACACCTGTAGGGCAGATATCTTTTGTTTATATTCATATTTTACATAAATAAGCACAAAGTTAAATTTATGATATATTATGAGAAAAGTTGATATTAATTAAAAACTGAATAATTCAGTCTGACTGATTAATATTTGTTAACATATTGCCACATAACTCATATATGGATATTATGTGTATTTTGTGTCATTCACATTAGAAAGAATTTTATATTTAATTGATATGATTAATATTTCTAAATATTTTATATAAAAATTTTTTTTGTGAGCAAATCTCTATAATAATCTTATTTGTTATTTTTATATTATTTTTTATACTGAATACAATTGCACAATGACATAAGTATGCTATAATAGAATTCTCATGGGCAAATATAATGATGATCAAAGTGTTCTTTACCTATGCGTTTATCTTGAGACATTTCCCAAGCACACATCTTCCAAAGACTTCTATTGGGATTTCCTTCAATTGGTAATTTAATATCTGTTGATGGATTATTATAATTTGGATCATGATTAGGGATCCAGCCCAATAAGCAAGCAGCTCTCCAAGGTTGGCCACAATGCATAGCTAGTGCTTGTGCTTTTGAAGACGTCCACAACGTACCTACAATACAAAATTTCTTAAAATACAAGACAATTATATTTTATCCATTCTCCCAAACTACTTTTATAGCTTAATATTTTGTTGAAACATTTGTATAATTTTTTGTTGTAACTTTAATTATATAAAAGCAACTATATTGTTTATCTACCTCTATAAACATTCTTCTCTCAATTCTAGCATCATCTTCTCTGTCTAGATCATGTAATTGTCGACCCTCTCGTATTGGTGCATCAGGATCAAGAGAAGATACTAGTGGTCTGGATGAGCTAAATGCAATTCCTAAATTTGGATTCTGTAACTGGTGAATTGTATTTTCCCAAGCTACTGTCTTATCAGTGAAAAGTTCTATAGATGGATGTCTATCTGCTTGATCTAGAGCATTCTTCTCCAACCAATCAATAATCAATTGATATTCCCTAATGTAGCTCTCTGATTTGTACAAATTCTCTATAACATTTTTTTCAGAGATATAATTATTGTTTATATGTCCGTCGTGTTCCATTTGAGTAGACAGGCCAACACTACTTATACGATTTTGATAAAGACAATATATTAATCTCCATGTGTTCCTCTCGCTCTCTAAAGAAGATTCCTCTTGAGCCATTTCCATATTCTCTACCTTTGATTGCATATCTGTCAAAATGGTAACGTTGTGTCGATGAAACTTTTAACATACTAACATTTACTTAAGAATATCATACAATATATTAATATATTAAAATTGTATTTTACTTAAAATATTATAACACAAAATAGCTCAACAGATGTTTACCTCTCATTATATCCAACGTATCTGTACAATTCTGTATAAAATCTGCGATAGTGTCGAAGATTTGTGTTTCAGAGAGGTGAGCTTGCATGCTCTGCAAGAAATCATAGTAAAGCTTCGCTTTGGCTTCTCGCCACGGCTCGTTCACTTTCAAGATTGCTCCGGTCGCTGCACTGTCATCCATCATCTCCCTGAGGGTGATGTCACTTTTTCCGAGCGTGCCATTATTTCAAATCTCGTTGAGCTCTCGTCGATGAAGATACAATCATTCATAAGACATAGCCGGCACGCGCGTTTCAACGAAGTTTTGAGGTTGAGTTTGGATAAACCTGGAGGTACTGTTTACATTTGTCGCACGGACAAGTCGAGCCTTTTGATTGGCTGCTGTTGCAAGAAGCCATAAAAGTTTTTGTTCGACAGCCAATCAGCTATTAGACACTTATAAATGGTACCTAAAACGTAGACACGACATCTTCCTTTCTCTTCTCCCTCTGATTCGTTATTCAAATGTTACAGTTTATTTTGAACGTGTTGGAGCGAAGTAATTGTTAAAATGGACAATAATAATGAGGTAAATTTTATTTCTAATACATTTTATATAACATAGAGAATAATAATGCTCTCTTTTTTATTATTAGATCAATGATATAAATTAATATTGATGACATACAACAGTCATATAGCTATTATTATTAGATATAATTAGATTTTACCTTTTTTATAATTAGATTAGTTAGATTTTTGTAGCATAATGTATTATATTATTTTAATTTTAGGCAGCATCTTTTTTATACAATGATTCAAGTTCTGTAGCAACTGGAATCATAAAGTGCCATAATGATAATATGTCTGCTGAGGAAAGCTCATTGCTTCGACCCTTACAGAGAAGTATCTCAGAGACAACAGAGGAGAATATTGCACTTACGAAGGAGACTACAAGTTTTTTATCCAAATTGGATCTTGAAATTAAGATGCTGCCTAATGATGTGCAAGAAGGTCTAGAAAAGTCATCTTTGATTCTGAATGCTGAGAAACTGTTTAAATTTGATGAAACAGCACTACGTGTAAATAGAGAACGTAAGATCATACAGGAGCAAAAGCGAGAGCGAAACGAGAAACGGATGTCAATGATATACGATATATTACTTAGAATTTGCATGAGATTACAAACAAAGCTCGATCATTTACAAGATGCAGTTGATTTTCTTCAAAATATTGTTGACATTACAGAAAAGGATAAGGATACTTTATACTGTAATAAAGTTTTCTTATCTACAAAACTAAAAGAGTATCAACAAGCTGTGGGGAAATTAGAAATAGATATAAGTGATATGCAGATTGATGAACTTTATCCTGAGAAAATATTAAATAAATATAAACTCTACTTAGAAAGTACCAGCAAATTGGCAGATATTAATCAATCACTCGCTCAATATGATGATTTACCACCTAATTTATTGCAGGCTAAATTACTATTAGAAAACAAAAGGAAAGACTATAAAAATTTGGATCAATTGTTTTTAGAAAAGACCCAATAATTTTGATTGTTTAATCTTAAATTCATATATTTCGTTTATAATTCGTATATTTCAATATTTGTAATACATCCTTTTCTTCTCATAGATAATCAATTTATAGTTATACTAAAATGTTATACTAAAATGTATGTTATAAATAAGAAATTATACATGTGCACATATACATAAAAAAATTATACAAAAACTTCGTTTTTAGAAACCATATTTCGATTTTGTTTGTTTCCGTGCCATTTTATTCTGAGACCATTGATTTTTCAATTCTAACTCCATAGCTTTAGCTTGGTGCGCTAGATAAGTTATTTGATGTTTCTTCTTAGATTGAGAGTTAATTCCACAGCTCTGCATAGATACTGGCCTTTGTACAGGTTCTTCTGTTAATGCTTTCACCAACCACTCTCTTTTATCTGGTTTTATATCTTCTCCGCTTATTTCAATTATTTCTGCTTCTGCGATTTCTTTGCGTTTTGTACCTCGTTTTCCGCAAAGATACTCAATTGCTTTATCATCAAAGGCTACATTACCTTGAGTATCAATATTATATTCTTGTTCAGGAACAGGTAGTTTTGGACCAACTTCTGCTTTGTTTTTCAATAATATTTCTTCTTTAGGTAAATTTATAACATTACTCGTTAACGTTTTGCTCGAACTACTTGATTGATCAGTAGTTAAATTATCAGAATTAATCGAGGAAGAGTCATTTGTTGTATGATCTATGTGTTTTATAAGTGAAGCTTCTTTGCTATTTGATTTATATATAAGATTATCTGAAGATAATTCTAGATCTAATAATGCCGATACAGAGTTATCCGATATATTTTTACTTGTATCTAGCCCGAAGAAATCTACCGTTACATCTTCTTCATCATCAAAACTCGATTCATTATACGATTTATCTAAAGTTTGTTTCATTTTAGAATCATGCTGACTTGTATCCGATTTTTTTCTTATTTCTGACTGTTGAATATTTGCTCTTGCTGCAGCATTCTTAACAATTTGAGGTATTAAAGATTTCCTTGCAGTCTCTTGTTTTGGTGCTCCTAAGATTGCAAAGAGTCCGCAGCCTTTCTAAAATGATGAATAATTCTTGAATTATAATCATTCTCATCATTTAAATTTTTATTGAAAGGAATTTTTTTGGAACTTACTTCTGATGGTTGTATAATCTTAGCAGGTTTTCCTCCTTCTCTTCATCCTCAACATCCTTAAACTAATAAAATAACTAATTAAATAAAAAATTAAATAATGATGTAGGTGCAATTTAATAAAATTATTTATATTTTTTATAGGTGTATCCCATATGCATACTTCTGATAAAGAAGGCACTGATATTTTCACTGTTTGCTTCTTTGTTGGATTTGCTGTTTTCAGCAGATTTTTCAACAAGATATCATCTTCGTTCTCTTTGATAGCCTTTGCAGAACTTGAATTTTTGGGCCTTGGTATCATATTGAGTAAATCTTTTACGTCCTGTTCTGCATTGTCGGTTTCCTCTTCCTCGTCCTTAAACTAGTATGGTTCATTAAATAATACAAATGTAATTTTAGAAAATAATTTATATTTTCTCTATTCTGTAAAAATACCTTTTCCTCGTTTTCGGAGCCTTCATCACTGCTGTCATACGCTACGAGGCTCATTTTCGATTAGAAATAAGATTTATTCTTGTTCGTGTGTACTTGTATATACCATTAATCAAATATTCAAGTTTCGTACAGGCTCGAGTTTCCAACAAAATAAGACTAAAGAACTGAAGTTTCGTTACTGATGCTTCGTTTAATGGTTATGTTTGTCAAAATAGGTATATTGACACTTACAGATAACTGAAATATCGATACGGGATAATTTTTTAGTAATATATTTTGTACGCTAGATGGCAGCAGAGTACTTAAACGGTGATGCATTTTAAATGAGGAATTGTAACCGCGTAAAACATTTCTTGTTGTAGTGTGTGAGGAAGAGGATGCATAAGAGGCTGCGAGGGAAGATGCACGAGAGGATGTGAAGGAGAGATGCCAAGCATTCGCGAAGAGAAGAAAGATATCCTGGTTAAAAGGTACTGTGCTTTTTATTTACAACCTTTAATATACAACGACAATATATATGTATATTTTAATTTGAAATATACAAATCATATTTTAATACACAAATATGATGTTAAATATTGATTTCGCTAATCAAAATTTATGAAATTCGATGAAATGTTTGTTTATAAATAAATAGTGCATACACTCATACATATTACAGAAAGATATATATCAATATTGAAATAATATATAGTATAAAATAAGCAGAGAGAAAAACATAATAGCAGATTCTGATAAAATATTTGTCGTAACTTGAATATCTTTTTAATTGGTAATTTTTATTAAATTACGGGATATATTTTAAATATATGCATATATATATATATATATATATATATATATATATTGCGCTTATATAATAAATAATTGTTTTTATCATGATTATATATGTTAAAAACATGTCGCTCCTTGGTTGTTTCTCGAGCACATTATTTTACAATTTTCCAAGGCTGTCTTTTTATACTTATATTTGCTATCTAATAAAATGTAATAATCGCGAACAAATATTCCGCGCGGTGCGGTTTTTAGCCGCTCACGGGGTATTTGTATACGCCGTCTACGTCGAGATGCGGGAGATCAGCCCGACCCTGATTCGCTCGTCTGAAAACCTTGCTCTTTTACGCAATTTTAGCGTTTATTAAAGTTTGCTCGCAAATGAAACGAAACCCATATAACCTACCTAATTTAGCGAGTAGCATTTTGAAGTGGGGGCTACTTCAGGGAGAGTGAGAGAGAGAGAGAGCGAGCGAGAGGAGGAGAAGTCGGGTACTATTGACAGCGGTTATTGCCTAACTGCGTACCTCTACCTAATATGCCCGCTTGAGGGTTCGACTCCGGGGGCCACTTCCGAACGAAAACTGCAAAACACATTCGCGAATCTTTAATTCCACCCCCGTAATCCCCAGACTTTATAGCCACTTCTGTCGCGTAGTTTTATTGTTTGATGAGAAAAATCGTATTATATTTTATTGTGTTGCTAAGTTTTTTATTCTTTATATATATGTATAACTATATAGTAAGTATATTTTAATATATATACAATATATGTATTTAATTATATATAAGGTTTATTATATTAGATTAAATATATTAATTGTATTAGATTTTTTAGTAATTGCAATGATAATTTCGATAAAGTAAATTTAATGTGACGCGCGAGGAAATATATAAATTTATAATAAAAATTTAATATATAATTAAGAATTATATATCTATTTCCTCGCCACATTAAATCTACTTTGTCAAAATTATTGTTGTAATTATCAAAAAAACCAATATAATTAATAAATTTAATTTAATATAATAAATCTTATACAATTAAGTATATTTCAAATATATACACGGAGAGAATTTTCTCTTAGAATTTACCCTGAAAATTATGCATGGTAATTGCAGGACAGTATAGTATTGAAAGAATTTGATAAGAGTTCTCTGATTAATATTTACCATAATAAAAATATTAATATGAAATGTACGTATACTAAAATTAATCGAACATATTTTATATCTTATTGTGATAGATATTAGTCTTTTTTATTGTAATAAATATCAATCAGAGAAACTTATAAAATTCTTCCAATATCATATTGTCCTACATTTATTTTACATGATTTTCAGGGTAAATACTTTCTGTGTATATATATTTTTCCAAAATTGCCAAAAAAATCTTTTACAAAAAGGATTGGGCTTTATTGAAATTATTTTTGTTCTTTAAACCTTTGTTGGTCTGAAAAAGTATATATATTTTTTATTGTTATATTTATATTTAAAATTTATAATTTATATAGAAAAAAGATATAGAATATAGAATAAGTTGCAGTACACGATGCATGGCACGAGAGGCACATTACAAGTAAGTTTTTTATATTTAATAATCTACGCAAAATGTCATTATTTAACGCGAATCATCGCGGATCGCGTCGCGGATTTATGATTGCGACTTGCGAGAGATCTCCCTCGGCGCGCGATCGGGTTTATCCTTTTTTCATTGCCTCGATACCTCGACGTACGTATACGCGAACGGATGCGGGCAAATAACGGTCCTGCCTGCATTTGAAACTCTATTAACTCTCCGAATATTAGCTCGTCGAGCGAGATTAACCTCATTGTGCCCCGTTGAAAATGATGACATCACTATTAAACTCCCGTCGGCTTACGGAAATTGATTAAACTATCAAATTAGCTCTACTAATATCAACACATCAACGCCGCGAGACCGGGTCTCTGGCTTCGAGATTCAATCCTAAATGACATGAATTTGCCGGTCCGTACAATCGTTCGACGTGCATTCATCGTGACTATATCCCCTAAGAGAGAATGTGTACAGTCGTATGACTGCAAACCGAAGTATATAGTGACTGTCAATCGTCGTGCGTTTTAATTTTTACCAGCGAGATTTAGTTGATCCGCATTGATCCCGATCGTTTTCAGCCTCCTTTTTTTATTACTTGGAATTTGTAACGCGAATAATCAGGCGATTTGCCTAAAATAGTTTGAGAAAACTCAAATCGCCGTTTATGCTGTTTTGTACAATATTAAAAATTAAAATTCTTTACGTCACTTTCGGAACAGATTAAACACATTAAAGCTGTTTACCAAAATTAGAACGTTGATATGCGACATAATAATAATATTGTAGCGCTAATTAGACCCTGCGCACAATAGAAAAAAATATGAGTATTAAATATTAGGTATAAGAATTATTTTAAAATAATAAAGAAGATTCTGATATAAAAATACAAATTCGGGTATAAAAGAGTAGTAAGGGCTAATAAGCTCTTTATACTCGAATTTGTATTTGTATATCACAGTTTTTTCGATTTTATTATTTTCAAATAATTCCTATTCTTAATATTTAATATTCATTTTTAATATTTTCTCTAGGTACGCAGGACCTTACGCATTAAAAATAATTAATGTATCTGACATTCATCTCATTTAACGCTATGAATTTATATAATTTATTTTCGATACTTCGCACTTCTGTATTCTTTAGGCATTCGATCAGGCGATTCAAAAATGCGTCAGTAGACGCACATTCGCATAATATCTGCAACCATGTCGTAAGAATTCGAATAGTAACGCCGCTTCCCCTTCTCAGCCACCCTTTTCCACCCGGCCGTTCAGGAACTACAGAGCGTTAGATGTACTGTCAAGGGAAGTGTGAACAATTTCGTGCATTGTCGAGACTATAATATGGATGGCTGGCAGGATAATTATTGGAGGCCGTTTGAATCTAACTGTTTCCTTCATTAGCAGTCTCAGTTCGCCCGTTTATCTCCTTGTCTCTCTCGGTCTCTCTACAACACTCGTCCTCGCAGCCTGTTCCCACCTCTCCTTGGTTTCTCTTGCTCTCTCTTTCTCTCTTTCTCTTTCTCTCTCTCTCTTTCTCCCTATCTGAATTTTGTGCAGAATTACCCGCCATTATCATAATTGCGCTATTACCGATAATATCTACGACTCCGCTTCGAAACTGTACCTCGATGCTCTTAATCCATTTTCTATTTGGACAGCGGGGGCTTACAGTGGACGAGAAGTCGCAAATTCCGTTGCGTAATTTCCGCCCCATTGAATCGTCCCCTCTCTCCCTCCTCGGTGCGAGATTATATATTTTGCAGCAACAGATTCTGAATAACGCAAAAAGCGAAACGTATGTCGAATTTTCCCTGCCCGCGTAAAGTTGTGACTACAATTATTTCTATTCCACGAGAGACTTCCTCGTCGTTTTATCGTGCACTTGCTTTCGTTTTACTTACATTTGTCGTAAAAGCCTTACGCCTATTATTTTATTTGACGTATCGTGAATTCAATTATACGCTTATCGCGTACGAATTAAGATCGTGAGCTTACAATACATTCGATAAGTTTTCTGAATTATATATAAATATAAATATAATATTAATGTTTAAAATGTATAAAAATAATTTTTTTTTTTTTTTTTCGAAATATTATACGTCGGATTACAATTGCAAAGTAGAATTTCGAACGTTTGACGTTTCGATGTTTATTCTCCACATCATTCAGGATTTTAGGCATCCGTCATTAAGGCGGCAGGTGGTACACTGAATATGACAGTTTTTAGAAGGGTGAGAGAATAGAGGGTCACCTCAATACCGCACATAAATTCCACACATATATTATTATAATCGGTGGTTAGATATTTTCACAATTGTGGTCAGGATAATTTGAAATACTTTTTAAATTTCTCTTAATTATTTCAAATATATGTGGTGTTACAAATTAATGTTTTTAAATTTCTCTACTATATATATATATATACATAAGTGGGTTTATTACACATTCCTTATAAAAAGTGATACAAGCTAATGAATAAATAATGATGAGAGTAATAATAATAATAATGAGTTTGTAATGAGCTAATAATATATTTTAATGAAATTTAATTTATTACGTACTATAATTCTAGAAAGATATCATTAATTTTTTTATATCAATTAATTAATCATTAATTGATCAGACAAAAATGTTTATATATCAGAAAATGTATTTTCTAATGTATTCCGTTGATCTTTTTTTTTTTTATAATAACTTTTACATCCGTAATTATCTGAATTACATTTCTAAATGATAAAAGCGAGCCCTTAAGCAACCATCGAGTCCGGCACGAACTCGTTTCGTTCAATGCAGAACTGTCGGCGGATTTTTTTGTAGCAGTTGACAAAACGAAAAAGAAAGGAGAAGAAAGACAGATATCGCGATGACAA